CTATCCCCCCTCCCCATCCCTACCAAACGAAAGGGAAAAAGAAAGAAGCCAAAGCTCTCACGAACTTGCAGATGTGTTTGACGGATAACAAGTAAAATCTGAAGTCATTTTGAGATCCAGCTGCTTTTTGCTATAAGCGTCCTCCGATTATCCTAGGCTGGTGGCATTCCCTCTGTCGTTTTTGGACAGTCACATTTGCGTCAGTTTGGTGTAGTGGGTTGGACAGTCACATTTGAGCCAGTTTAGTGCAGTGGTTAAGTGCGTGGACTCTACTCTGGGAGAACTGGGTTTGATTCCCCACGCCTCCACTTGCACCTGCTGGATGACCTTGGGCAAGCCATAGTTCTGGCACAGCTGTTCTTGAAGAAGAGCCGTTTCTGTCAGAGCTCTCTCAGCCCCCACCTACCTCACAGGGTGTCTGCTGTGGGGAGGGGAAGGGAAAGGAGTTTGTAAGCCACTCTGAGACTCCTGTGGTAGTGAAGGACGGGGTATAAATCCAATATCTTCTTCTGCTTCTACCATCAACCGAAAGAGCCACATTTAACTTCCAAGAAGCCTGTAACTCAGAAAGGCTTACAGCCTACCTGTTCTGCTGGTGGCTGTTTAAAAACGGGAGTCACAAGCCCCACTGGGCTAGACCCTTGTCTGCTTTTCTGAAACATGGGACAGGCACCACATTGGGGAACAGCACTCAGAAGATCCACAGGTATGGCTGCCAGTTACCCCCCGGGCTCTGGCGGGGGTGAGGGGTACTTACCAACAGCAGGGAAGGCCTAGTCTGGTGTCTCAACTAGGGGTGTGCACTCGGTATATACTGAGCTGCATAAATACCCGAAAAAACCTTATCAGTATTTTTCGGGTATTTATTCAGCCAAATACAGATCAGAGATCTGAAAAAAACCCCACATGAATAAAAGCTGATATTAATTGGATTTTATTCGGGTGCAGCTAGAGAGCATTTAAAGAGACCACTGTCTTCTTTAAATGCCTGAGCTCACTCACAGAGTCACACCACACCTTCCTGGGGTGCTGGGACTCTGATTCTTTTGCTGCTTACACCTCCTGGCCTTCCTCTCCAACCTCCCAGGGTCAGCCCACCGGCACAATCCCCGCAAAATCATCCATACCCCCTCTCCCCCTTCATCATTTCCTTCCCCTACACAAATCCCTGCCTTCCTAGGGTGCTGGGGTCCCAACTCAGTATCCAGAATTTGCCCCTGGCACCACTCTCCCAACATTCAGGGGTCCACTTCCCGGCACCCCCTTCGCTGCGAGCAATCCTCCTCCTTTACGTTCTCCTCCCTGCAAACATGCCTTCCCAGGGTGCTAGGACTCCGATTCTTTCGCTGCTCACACCTACTGGCCTTCCTCTCCAACCTCCAGGGGTTGGCCCACTGGTAAAACCCCCACAACCCCCCATATAAAGTTTAAATACTTGCTCAGTTCATTCGGGGAGTCGGCGGTGCAACTCTGCAAGTTTAAATCCCTTCTCCATTATACCCTATGGGGATGGTCCCTGCAGGGTATAATGGAGCCGAATAAACTCGGCAATCTTGATTATTTCCTAATCCCGATGTCATACCGATATTGGGATTTGGTAATATCGGGAAATACTGATTTTTTTTTGCACACCCCTAGTCACAACATCACTGGCAATGTGGGGATGCTCTGACATTTGGACAAAAACTCTATGGTAGAAACAGATTGTACCACACAGTTTTTGCCCACATACCAGAGCATTCATGCGTCGCTAGTGAGGCGATGATGCTACTTCCAGCACACACCGGAAGTGATGTTGCCATGTTGCTGGTGCTGAGTTAGGCCACCCCCACTACCAGTAAGTCCCTCTGTTACCCAGCTGATTGGTGGCAGGGGAGGGGCCCAGGAGACTACCCTCCTCTGGCGGGGGCCTGGCAGCTGTAGCCATAGGTGGCATGCCAATGAGTCACATGTGGCTCCTGAGCCACTGACTATCACTGTCTTAGGCTGTACTAGGCTTAACACTGGCTGCTGATTGCCATCCTTCCCTATCCATTGGCAGGGCTGCAGTGATTTCACAGAATTCTCAAATATTTAAAGCGCTGAAGAAGAACGTGTTAGTCTGTCTGTAGCAGTAAAAAAGAGGAAGAGTCCATTAGCACATTAAAAGGTAAAGGTTCCCTTGCTCGAAAGCCAGTCGAATCCAACTCTAAGGTTGCGGTGCTCATCTCCGTTTCAAAGCCGAAGAACCAGCGCTGTCCGAAGACGTTTCCGTGGTCATGTGGCCAGCATGACTAAACACCAAGGCGCACATTAAAGACTAACAAAATTGGAGCCAGGGTAGGAGCTTTCATGAGTCACTGCTCACTTCTTCAGATACAGGCAATTAGACTGCTCCACAGTTATTACTGATATGCAATGGGACGCTATATGGACTTCATCCTTTATGGTGTTAAAAGCTACCGCTCCCGGATTAACAACATTCACACTAATCACCCATTGGTATTTAACTCCCATACAATTACATCATATAAGTCCCTCTAAAATTCCAAAATGCTGGAAACTGTGTGGTGAGAAGGGGACATACTATCATTGTTGGTGGTCATGTCATTATATTGCTAATTTTTTGGCAAAAGGTATTGAAATTGATTCTATTAATAACAGGGTATTCACTCCCCTTACGACCTGAGCTAATATTGCTTAATCTATGGGAAGATAGTCCAATTCCACAGATATGAAAGGCTTTGATTGTCACATTATTAACTGCTGCATAGACAGCGATGGCTTCAAAGTGAAAGACCAAGCCAGTGCCTTCAATTTCGTTACGGATGTCAAAGACATGGGACTGCTATAGTTTAGAAAAAAATTACAGAAAGACTGTTACAACTTGAACATAAAAACTATCAGTCGACTTTTGTTGAAAAATGGTTTCCGGTCATAAATTACATGGCACAGAATGGAATTATTCCTGATTATTTAGTTTCATCTGAAGTGTTTGTTCTATAAAACCCAGATTTAGAGTATGTTTTAATTTTGATCAATAAATACTAGCTAGCTGAACTCAGATTCTTACATTTATACAAGATGGTTGCCAACCCAACTGTATTATCAGAAAACACGGTAAGAGCTCTAAATAGTTAAGTTTTATATAGATGTACTGATTAGAATATTAAGAATATTATTAATGTTAAATCATTTATTTATTTTATTTATTTATTTTATTGCATTGCATTTATACCCCGCCCTCCCCGCGAACGGGCTCAGGGCGGCTCACATTGGGCACAAAGTGCATACCATGTACAAGTTTACAGAATACAAGTACAAATTTAAAACAGGCTAAAATCAGTTCTGCGGATGCATAAATAAACTCCTAATATCGTACGTAGCAGGGGGAAGGCTGGGGGAATGGAAGTTGTTGTCCAATCCCCCCCAGCGGTCTCTCTCTATAGCGGCGCGGTGATGTTAGTGGCCGTGATGTAAGTGGCCGTGGCGGCTCCTACTCATAAGCCTGTCAGAAGAGCTCCGTCTTGCAGGCCCTGTGGAACTGCACCAAGTCCTGCAGGGCCCTGATCTCCGGGAGCTCATTCCACCAGGTAGGAGCCGCCACTGAGAAAGACCTGGTCCTTGTTGCCACAAGCTTGGCCTCCTTAGGGCCCGGGATCACCAGTCGGTATTGTGATCCCAACCGAAGTGCTCTTTGGGGAATATATGGGGAAATGCGGTCCCTCAAGTAGGTCGGACCCCGGCCATGTAGGGCTTTAAAGGTAAGCACCAGCACTTTGAAGTGAATCTGGTATGCTATAGGCAGCCAGTGCAGC